TTTTTTTTTTTATCTGGGATCCACTGCTGTGCTCCGTTTGAAAAGGCCTTTATATCTAAACCTTATACACAGATATTAATTTGTTTGCAAATGTTTAACCTGAATATGTATTCTTAAAATGTAATTACTTATTTTTGTCATATTGTATTCTTGTTTCTAGGACTATGATGAAGAAGAGATGTCAGTCGGCCTGTTGAGCGTGATCCCTGAGCTGAGGACTCTAGAGCCATACCTAACTCACTGCATTTAATGCCACATCTACTGCAATATTTTTGGAAGGTACAATTGTATTGGATGATCTGGAAAATCCTCCCCAAGATATGCCTGCTCTTTGGACTTGGATTTATGCTATGAAATTATAGTATCCTCCAGTACTGAAGTACACCTTTGATTTCATTCAATGGCTGAACCTAGAATGCAATCTCTGAAAAATCTTCTGATGTAGAAAGATGTCATTGTGGCGTGATGGAGCATTTTTCAGTGTAATTGGTCATGATTGATCATTATTGATTTAGAAAAAGGGATGTTGATGGGGTTTTTTTTCTATTTATTTCCTTTTTTTTCTTACAGTGTTAAATTGTTGATTTAATAGCATGCCTAAAAAATAATGACTTGAAGTAACATTGTTTTAAACAAATAAATGCCCTATTGTTGTGCTAACAATCTGTTTTCTGTCTTTGTATTAACAACTTTAAGTTTTGAGTACAGCTTACTTGAGAAATTTAAGGCAATCAGTTTCCACACATTTGTCTAGTAATGTGAACAAAGCAGACTTGTTAAGAGAACTGTTTTGTTTGAGTTCTGTGCACTAAGCTTAACTTACATCTCTAAGTTGGCTGAACTTGTCAAATTGAGTTAGCAACACTCAAGTTTTCTGGTAACCTATACATATACACAAGTTACCTATACAAAGTTACAGTAAGTTTTATTAACTCAAAAATGATCAACTAATTTGCTTGAGAAATTTGAGGCAATCAGTTTCCACAGGTTTTCCAAGTAAGTTCAACTCATTACTTTTTACAGTGTAGTATGAAGAGCAGTCAAACTTGATAATGTATGGATATATTTAGTATGCAAAATCAAGACAGTATGTTACTGTTAAATGTTCTCCACAAGCACAGAAAAGCGCATAGAGAAAATAAGTACCAATATAATGGAATGTTTTTTTTTTAATATTAAGTAGCAACATTTCAACACTGATAATATGTTTTTTGAGCAACTGACAAAAATGTATTTACTTAGTTACTATTACTACTGTTCACACTTCAGTATGTAATTCTTCCCACACAATCTGTGCTAAAGATATGAATTATAGTTCAAATACTGTGGCTTGATGAGGCGTGGTATTACTGTAAGCTATCAGACTTAAAGGGTTAGTTCACCCAAAAATGAAAATTAGCTTGTGTTTTACTCACCCTCGAGGCATTCTAGGACAGATACCAGAGGTGAGAGAAAAGTGTTTATTACATTTGAAATATGGATATTTTTCTTACAAAAACGCATGGATTCACTACAGGAGGCCTTTGTTCACCCCCTGGAGCCGTGTGAGGCACATTTATTATGAATGCATCCGCTTTTTTGGATGACTTGTGGACTGTTCAACTGTAACACCCGCTGACTGCAATGATAGAGCTTGGAATAGCCAGGACAATTTTTAATACAACTCCGACTGGATTCGTCTGAAAGAAGAAAGTCATATACACCTAGGATGCATCGAGGGTGAGTAAAACAGTCTAATTTAAATTTTTGGGTGAACTAACCCTTTAACATTGTCACCTGGTGGACAATAAAATGAGTTATGGACTAGAACTAGAGCAGTGTTTCCCCAAAGTGTAAGCTGAGCCAATCGTATTACAGAGGAGCGTGAGCGCACCCGAAAATGTATAAAAAAAAGTATTATTATTACTATTATTATTATTATTAAAGAGATTCCTAGAGCTCCTAGAATAGCCTTGAAAAATGCACTATTATATGCAGTATTCACAGCAACCTACTCTAGTGCCCTGTGGTTTTACATATGCAATTACTACTCAGATTTCATTCAGAAAATATAAAAATCTAGTTCTGGTCATTATAATGTGACAAACAACATGACTGGGGTTTTAATGAATAGCATAGCATGCAATTTAACAGCAGACTGATCGCTTCAACTCAAAATGTGGTCTTAGTGCGGTTGTCCGTTTTTGAACATTTGGACAACTTCACTGCTCACTGTGGAGCCTTGTGGTCACGGGCAGAAGCTCTGCCATACAAAACTAGACAAGCATGCTTTTACTCACTGATTTGAGAAGACATGTATGCTTCCTCAGCCTTCGGAGATGGAAGTATCATTGACTCAGCATAACTGTTCTGCTAATACTGATTGGTTCATGTTTCTCCTCTCAGCTTCCTAGAATCAATTATCAGATGCTTTGAGGAAAAGGTTGTTGTTGAACTCTGTAAATCATGTCTTTAAATCACTCCAGCACAGGACACAGCACTACAAAACACTAAAGTCCTGCCCCAACAAAAACTCACTTGCAGGAAAACTGCTCTCTCAAATGTTACTTGGATAAATCCCAGGTAGCAAAAGGAAATTAATGTTTTTCTGGATAGATGACCTTCCTAAGAAAGCAATACAGCATTCACCTGCCTCCTCTGACAATACATCCTCCTGAGATTGTCTATGATTTAGACTAATTACACATATGGTTCAGTGTAATGTTTTCTTTGAGGAGTCAAAGCAGTAGTCATCAATAGCTTTAAAAAAGACAAATGGTCCTCCATACCATTTTAGAGAGGGCATATAGATTTTTTTATTCATCAGGGTGCTCCTACTTCTATGTAAAATACAGCCCGGACTAGTGGTCGACCGATATTGGTTTTTTGACAGCAGAGGCCGATGCCGATATCTTGGAAAGCAGGCTGGCCGATGGCCGATATCATTTTATGTGTTTTAATTAATATTTAAGAAATTTGAGATAATTTAACAATTGATTAAAAAATACATCTGTTAAATAAACATACTTATACTTTAGATGACAAAGTATTTTCACATATAAATAAATATTTAATAAAAATATAATTAAAAAGGAAGTAAACACTAACCAACAGGGCACTAAGTATTCTGGGAAGTTTGTGTGCATTAATAATATTTTTCAAATAAAGCCAAGGTAATACTCATTTTACATACAGCACACAGTGAAAATGACATGAATATGACAGTGGGAAAATGCATAAAGCGCAGCATAATTTAAAATCACGAGTTTAAAGTTTGTCGATCGCGCATCTCCAGTGAAGCTGAACTCTCCTCCTGTCCGCATTCAATTTGCACGGACCATAGATCATGCAGGATACACATACACACTTCACAAGATCCTGGATTCGACTAAGTTTGCAAGGTTTTTTAAATTGGATGTTTATTAGACATCAAATCAAAGGTTTATAAATGCGTATTTGCTGAATGCTGACGGCAAAGTATTATAATGTTTGCCTTTCTATTACTAACAATATAAAAGCAGTCGTTATAAGACTTTTTGTATACATTTTAATTCCTTTGTTTAACCGTTCTATCTGACCGGAGAATGTGAGCATTGTGTGCTTAGTGTTGGGTCGTTCTTGAATGATTTGTTCATTTTTAATGTGATTCGGGAAGAACGAGTCGTCTTGGGGAGTGATTCGTTCAGTCGCGCATGCGCAACATCCTATAGGTTCTGTAGTGGAATATAAAAGCTGCAAATGGATCCTGACTCTGCTGATGCTTCGCAACAATAATGACAGAAATTCACACATTTATAAACTGTAAGAAGTAAAAAGCTACAATTTGAGACCAGAAACGCATCACGTAACGGTAAGAGTAAATAATAATTATAATAATGATGATGATAATAATAATAATAATAATAACTATGCACCCATTTGTAAGGAAGCTTGTAAATTAACTAATTTCTCTATCCAATGCGGTCACGTCACGTGACAAAAGAACGAACGATTCGAAAGACTCGATGGATGAACTAATCAATTCTCTTTCCGGCTCAGACTGCATTGGTTAAAGCTTATGGGTCTGTCACGTGATGAACGAAAGACTCGAAACCCAAAGACTCGAGAGATGAACTAATCAATTCTCTTTCCGGCTCAGACTGCATTGGTTAAGTTTATGGGGCTGTCACGTGATGAACGAACAACTCAAACCCGAAGACTTGTCAGATAAGAGGTGAGGTGAGGTGAGCTAATCATAGACTGACTGAAGCCCCAGGTAAACAATAAATTAATCTTTTCTGTTTCTTATAGCAGTTTTGTATTGTTTGTAGCGTGAATTATATTTTGCTAAAATGAACGAAATGACTCGAAAAAAGATTCGTTCATTTTGCTGAACGAGACTCAAAGGTCCGAGTTGGTAAAATGATCCGAACTTCCCATCACTAGTGCCCAGCCGCTGTCTTTCTCAGCGCCATCAAAATAAAAGTCCCGCCTCGAACGCATCGGCCAAACAGGAAAACTTATCGGCCGATGCCGATATTTTAAAAATGGCAAATATTGGCCGATATATCGGTCGACCACTAGCCCGGACTATTTATGGTATCAAAATCGTAAAAACCCAATTTGGAAATTTTGTTCACACTTTAAGAGAAAAACATTCAATACAAAAACATAATCTGCACCTTTTGTATAAAAACACCACGTACAACCCAGCTATTCGGATTAAACTAAATATTTGAGGCTTTTCTTCAAACACGCACCCGTAAGATTGTGAAGATCATAGTTCGATAACAAAACCCCAAGTATTAGCCAGTGGAATTTTCTTTTCCTTTAAAAAAAGGAGGCCAGCTTCATGGTCTGAAAAACATAATTCCTCATTCTAAACCCCGCAGACTGAAATGGCTGGAGCAGAGAGGAAAAGACATTGTTTACAAGCTCAAGTCATCTCAGCAACTCCTTTTATGTGTAAAGTTAAGGCGAGAGAAAACTGCAGTTCTGCAGTCATGTCTATTTGCTCAATCTCTCCTGACAAAATGCTGCAGGAGGCCTGACATCTGTGTTCAGTTAGAGAAAAATAGAACAACTTTCCAGCACTAGGCTGAAACTATTAAAAAATAGTTTTCGTTAATTAAAATAAAGTTGAAATCAAACAGAAAAATAATATATATAAACTTCAATAAAAAAAACACTTGCCTTGGCAACCAACTAAAATAAAGCACGTTTAAGAAAAAAATTACTAAAACTGAAATTAAACAAATTAAAATGTCAAAAGCACAACAAAATTACTACAAATTTGAACTACAATTGAAATAAACTCAAAATAAAAAAATTAAAACTAAATCAAAATATTAAAGAAAAATACTGTAACAGTACATAAATAATAAACTAGCACATTAGGCAAAATGAGAAATAATCATTCATAGATTCTGAGAGTTCGCCATCAGTTTGTTAAAACTTAGAGAACCAGCAGAACTGATTAATTCTGATCCTACAACCACAGCGGTTTACTTTGCCCTTGAGTATTAAAA